CCACGGTGAAACCCACTTGAAGAAGTCTATTCAGCAGCCCAGACTCCGCCTGCACGTTGATCCAAAGAGAGCCCGTGGCTCTGCGGAGGAAGCGCTTTCCTTTCTTGCGTTTTCCAAAGACGTCTTCCCGGAGACAAGCGGGGACTGTCCCTTACATGGGGTGTGCAGTTAAAAAAAGTCTCTTGGACCCAGAATTTATTGGGGGCCCCCCCCCCCCCCACACACACACACACACACTATCTGTCACAGCTGCCATTAGTGTGGCAAATCAAAAGAATAGCATCTTTAACTCCCTTACACTGAGCCTCCGTGGCATTTCTCCGTAGCAACAGGCTGACCCCGTTTCTATGGTTATGGTGTCCCTCCTGCATTCCTTCCAGGAAATTGATGGCGAAAAGAAAAATGAGTACGTGGGTGCAACTCAACCTACAGCAGGTGGTTCACTTTACCACCACACACAAAATAAAGGAAGTGATGTGAGTTGGATTCCTGCGCCTACGGTGCACTTTGTGTCTCCTCTTTCTGTGATACGCTGAGTTAAGGCGATGCTCAACAAAGAGGATTGAGGTTTAAGCTGCAACCGAGGCGCGACCTCCCAAAAAAGAGTGCCGAGTTCAGAGGCAGCCTGCAGGTGTATCTGCCTCAACACCTTTCAGCTGTGAAAACCTCCTGAAAGACAGTTTGATGGGGATGGGAGGGAGGGGGGGGGGTGTCAGTCTGTGTGGGGTACTTGGAGGTTTTAAAGCCTCTGATATAGGATGTAGCCTCTGATAGGATTTCCAACTCGCTCCTCTACTACCTTTGCCCAAGCTCAGTCCCTCCCTCCGCCGGAGCTGTGACTGCCCTCCTTCGTTGCTATGCAACAATCGGGAGTAACGAGAATCATCATCGAAGAAGTCATTAACTTAAGGCAATAGTTCAAGAGAGTGCCGAGGCACGATCTTACTCCTAATCTACCGAGCCAACAGAACCCGGTACTGTGCGATGGAGATTTCCGGTGCGGTGCAACTTCTCTGTCACTCAGTCTGATGAGTGGTTATGACAGCTGATAATAAGTAGCTACCAGACACTGATCCCCCTCCCCCCCCTCCCTCCCTTCCCACCTCCCTCTCTCCAAAAAATGTCTGCTTCGCTTCCCGGTCCCCGGTGTCCACAACCACACCCAAGCCCTTGACCCAGAGTGACCTCTTCAGCAATATAATTCCATTGCCTGCAGCCAGCTGCCCTGAATGATTACTCTGACTAACTCCATCCATGGGAGGAGGGGGGGGGGGCAGGAGCCGCTGGTTGTGAGTGTGTATTGGTGTGTGTTTGAGACGCAAGCTCAATTGCGTTACTGATTGTGCGTGGCTCTTTGGCAGTTTGTGTGTCTATGTGTGTGTTTTTTCATTACAAGCCTCCCCTGGCAAAACAAACACAGACACCAATTAAAGCTGCTGCAGAGTCCCGGCCCCTTTATATCCCTAATAATGAGCTTGTGCAAGAGCGGCTCTAACCCTCCTCGTCGTCACCTTGAGGTTCTTACTTCAGCTCCCCAATCAGCTCCGAACAACGAGGCCTCACATGAACGCACCGCTATCTTCCCAAGTCACACCCGCGCTTCACACAGAGGTCTGCATTCGTGCTTTCAACCCAACGATGCAAGAAAGACTCGCCACTGAGCGGACCACGCGGCGCACAACCCGGCCTGCTCTCCGCAATGTGCGTTAACCGGGGGGAGAGATTTACACATCGCAAGCAACGTTTCACCAAACAAGCTTGCTCCTATTTCATTGTGAATAAATGTTTACAGCTGCAAGCTGCCGGGTGTTACAGATGTGTACCCCCAGCCAGGAGACACCCGGCAGAGTGCAGATCTCCTCCAGGTGTGTCTGTTTAATTGAATGAATACAAACCCCAAGGTGCAACGCTCCAGATCAACGCATCACTGCGTGCTTGTCTCCACCGGCTCTTCAGCTGCAGCTCAGTTCTGTGATCTGTTAGATAGCGAATCCGCTCACAGAAAAACTACATTGAGTTGATGATACGTAACCTATTTTAATCAAAGAGAAAAGGGGGAAGATGTTTTGACTAACCTAAGTGGAAACTTCATCAAAATGGTGCTTAATATGAATCTAAAGTGAGAAGATTGTGAATGACTGTTAAACATCTGTGTTGGCAGTGTCAGACATGCTGAGAAACTCTGTGCTGAGACTCATACTTCATGTTGGCTGATATAAATAACACTTTTATAACGGATTTGCTGTTAGTCTAATATGTATTTTTCTTCTCCTCCTCAAACTGTTCTTCTTTGAAGTCATGTCAGCCACAGCTGAGTAACCTCCTGCTGTTTCTTGGCGACGGAAGACACACAACTAAAGTCTTCAATCACCAAAACAACAATGTTTTAGTGGTGCCACCCAATTTAATAAATGTTTGAAATTGCGTGAATTCTGGGAACTAGGCAGAGTGACAGGTCACACATTTTGTTTATGGATTTATCAAAATGGGGGGTAACAATACAAGTTTCTTCTCAAAGTAAAGTGTTTAGTATGTGTATCTATTGGCCGATATGAAATAAAATGACTGTGTTTAATTGTCTAAAAATAAGAGTTGTTAGCTTACAATGAGCCGTTTAGAGCCACATCACACAGAGCGGTTCTCAAAGCAGGCTGCCATGTTTCTACAGAAGCCTAAAACACAAAAACTTACTTGGTTTCAATCTGCCACCTCACCACTAGATGGCACCAAGTCCTGCACCTGTCTACTAATTTAAGCTTTTAATAAGTTACTGGTTTTGTTTGTTGTTTAGTCACATATATAACATCATGACATGAATGAATGAAACTACCAACTTAAGTGGTTAGTAAGTTTCAGTGGAGGAAATAGACCTTGAAGCTGCTCCATGTTGTTAAAAAGCAATTACTTTATTTCCAGGACCATCTTGTTGGCTCTAATTCCCATAAACAGAGACAATGTGATGTCGAAATTAGACATTTCCAGAATGGTTACAGACAAATGTCCAATTATCTAACTCCCCAGCAGTAAATGTCAAACGTTGGGATGTCCTTGCGGTGCGTTTTCTCTTCTAGACTGAATCATTTTTATTTAATGAGAGTGGAGATGACTGGTATTCACAGACAGCAGCATCAAATAGACCAGAGTGCTTAGCGGGTTGTGTTTTTAGTTTGAGGGCTGACTTGAACGTTAGTCACTTTTCTTGCTCTTACAAGGCTAAATAACGCCCTCCAATCCCACATAATGCCAGCTGATCTTTTCCAATGACTGTCGGAAAAAAAAAGCCAATCTGGCAGACGTGAGACATCCCTGACCGAAGCGGATGAGTCAGGTTGAGGAGAAATGGGATTTGTTTTGACACTTCGGCACGAAATAACGACCGGACACCTGAGATGTAGACTGTTATTCCATGATACTTAAAAGAAAAATGGACAGGTTAGCAATCGCTGTCAAGTGAATGTTTCATCGGGAGTTCAGTCGCTTCTGCCTATTTAATTACATTAATGAGGCGGGATTGAGCGAAGGTCGCATGGAGGATAATGTGCTACGGCTGCCCGTAAGCACTTCTAATCACAGAGGCTGCACGGCACATCTTTCTGCACACCAAATGTTTCTGTCAGAGCCGGCAATCCATTACTTCCTACCTCTTCCTTCCTTTCAATGCAATGTTCACGTCAGTATTGCAGCTGGATTAGTTGTTCGGCTGAGCGAGTAAAGTGGGCTTGATTGAGGCAGTTGTTTAAAATAGTCTAGTTTTTTGTTTTTCTTCTTCCCCAGACTCCCTGGACTCCCACGAGCAATTAAGCACAACACCAATTACCAGGAGAGCTTTACCCCCGGGGCATGTTGATGTCCCTCCATCCATTTCTCTCAGTGTATGATTTTGAACATCTGCAATCAGAGCCCCCCCCCCCCCACGTCTCCTCGCTCTCCCAAGTGTATCCGGCATGAGGCGAGCTTCCCCCTACATCTCTCACTGCTCAACCACAAATCTAATTTCACCTCCTGTGGTCCCACTATTTGCGTTTCAACGGGCCAACGCGGCATCGCTCTTCACAACGTCACAATCATGTTGCACAGAATTTTGGGAGGGTTCACGCAATTTTGTCTCTTCTTTCTGTAAACCATATGTGTTTGTGACATGGAGGCATGGAAATGAAGGCAGCCGCAGTGACCCGGCTTAAGGTTGAGGTTTGTGCCCCCCCCTCCCTTAGCAGCACCCGCCAGGCCGTTCACCACATGAGGGGATGCAGCTTAAACTAAATGGTGGGTCAGAGAACATCGTAAGGCAAACCACCATCCAACAAGGCAAAGAAAACAGAAATTTCAGCGGAGCACTTTTCATGTTTCACCATTAAAAAACGATATATATGTTGAATGATGGTACAGTTGAATGGGTAAGTTTGAATACAATACTGACGTAGTGGTTGGCTACAAATGTCCCTTACGTCCAATATTAGGAGAACAAAACCCATGGCCCTCCTTCTGTAAGGTCAATATGAGGCTTTGGTATCTTCCAAACCCGACTCCCTGTGTTCTTCCAGACTGTCTACTGAGACTGAAAGATACCCACTAATGCGACACATGAACACTAGTCCTACGGTTACTTCACAATCTGCACACCAATAGATACCTCCAAGACAACTTCAAAGAGTAGCGTAGGACCTGATGTGGCTGATGTTTTGGCCCATTGAATTTTATGTTTGAAATTTGTGTCCTTTTGCTACATGTATGTTTCTGGTATGAATTATACAGTAAATCAAATTTGTAAATTAGTTTCAACTAAACTTTAAAAAGTTTGGATTCAAAAGAGATTCTCTTACATGGGGTCCAGTCCTAGTGACCCAAACAGCCCATTAGGATTCAAAGCTATATGGACAGAAGGAGCAAATACAGCAAACAAAAAGGTCTGTTGGTATACATACGAGCATGCACTTTGAACACATGTTCAAGTCAAAGATATTCTTTTGAAAATAAACAAATAAAAAAGGGATTATACCTCCGAATTATAAAACAGGCCTCAGTAGGAATTGCTAGAACACTTCTCAGAGTCTTTGCCGCTTGTCCTGACCGTGAATTCAGCTGAGCACTTCTAAATCCTCATCAGCCCCTGACAAATGTGAGCAGGATCCCCAAGTCGGGCTGGAGCCGTTCCTCAAACTGATCGACCCGTACAACTTCGCTGCGTGTTTGGAATAAGCGAACGCCTTCCTCCTCATCATCTCTCCTTTCCACATGGAGACCATGAGCAGGGTGGAGAGCAGCACGCCCCCGAGGGTAAGCAGGCACAGTCCCGCTATGACGCACCGGTCCAGATGGGCCCCCACAGCGGCTTTCTCCCGCTCCAGCCGCTCCATCTCCCGGGCGGACACGCTGTCCGGGTCCACCCGGACGTCCCTCGGGACCGCGTAGGATATGGCGACCAGAGAGATGCCGGTCACCAGGCACGTCACGGCGATGATGAAGCCGTAATCCACGGACTTCCCCGAGGCGTCGGAGGAGAGGTCGTCATCGGACATCAAGTAAAGTTCCGGGATGTCCTCTTCTTCCTCTCCCTCTTCCTCCTCCTCTTCCTCCTCCTCCTCCTCCTCTTCCTCCCCCTCGCACAGTTCACTTGAGGGGCTCTGACTCAGACTGCATGTTTGTGGACTACTCCCTATTAGCTGGACATCATCATCATCGTCATCTTGGTGTTTGCAGGTGAAAGATGTTTCCGTTTCGTGCTCTGGCCGCGCGGCTCTCCGGGTCTCTGTCCGTGGTGCTGAACGCTCTCCTCCGCCGGGATGAATTAACTTCCCGCGGCCGATGGGGTTGATACTTTGCTCCTTTACAACCAAGGGGGCATCCGTCCGATCGGGTTGATCACAGTAAAACAGCTCCAGATCATCCATTTGAGCTCGCGGCTGGGTTTCCCGTTCTGCCGAGCCCATGCGTCCGCGCCCCCGTCGCTAAAACGCGCAACAAAAAAAACAGAGAGAGTAAAAAAAGATGTTTCAACTCCCCGAAATGACTTTCATTATACGTCGCGTGCCTTGTGACTGCAAGCCACTTTAAATCTGCGCTTTGGGTATTTGTGCAAGCCCAACCTGCACGCATCTTTCTCCATGGGCTTAACCGCAAGCGTTTAAAGTGCCGCTATACGCAAGTCTTCAATTCACTCCCATCACAACGCAGAGCGCCATCTACCACTTGCTTGCCTGCGAGCTGCTCCAGAACACTTAACGACTCGCTGATGAATCTAATCCCACCTGATGTGTTTCAATGGGCGCCCATCAGGCAGCAGCGCGGAATGAGAAATGCGGTTCGCCGAGTGCCTCTCCGCCGCTCCGTGGCCGCTCGCGTCCCGCCTGCTTCTGCTCCCCGGTCAATCACAGGGACAGGCTCGCTAGACCCCTCCCACGGAGAATGTCCACGACCCGCACAACGCGCGCACGCACGCTCACCAGAGGACAGTCTGCCTGTCACATGTGTGCAGATGCGTCTCAATACTGCACATGAACAGGCAATGCGCTATGAGCTGCAACTAATAGCGTGATAGTTGATAATAGGAGCAACTTTTGGGTTGCCAAGTTGAGAGAAATCCGTCATGTTGGAGAGTCATTTGACATTTCACTTTATAATAAACAGCAAGGCTGCAGATAAGTGACGATTTTGGGAAACATGCCCCGGATTCTGCAGCTGTGGATCACACATTTCCTTGTGATGAATGAAGCATCGTTCAGTGATGCATTCCCCAGGAATTCACCTGGGTATTTTCTTGCTATTTGTTATTTGTCTTGTTGTCCATTGTCTCATTGTCTTACTGTCCGATGTTAGGCACCAACCGCCATGTCAAATTCATTATCTAACAAATTTTTGCAAATGTTCCTGATTCCTGTTTCCTATTGTTGCTCAAGTGATTTCATTGTCTGAAGAGAAAGTGTTTTTAAGGCATGCGTTGTTTTTACAGGGGTAACATTCAGGTTAAAGCCCTGGAGCTGAGGCAACCACAACGAACGCTCCCTGTATGTCCCTAAATGCTCCCTAATGTCTCCCTAAATGCTCCCAAACCTTCCCATACTCTTCATTGTTCAAGTCTCCACACTATACACGGTGTAAATGCAGTCAAATTTGTGAATATATCACAGTAATGTCCCCCATTGCTTTGTGGACTACCAGTTTTTAAGCCTGAAGTGTGGCATTTTGCCAATTTAGCAACTTAATTTTGCAAGTCAATTTAATGCAAACAAAATGCAACAAGATAATTATGACAAACGTTTTTAATGACTGTGAAAGGGTCAAAGTTCCAAGATTAAAACACAGTCAACTCCCTGACCGGACAAGGCCGTTGTAGCCCACCCATATGATCTATTTAACTGGACCATAATTGACTAGATAAACACCATCCTGTATCTGTAAGAAGCCTTGAAACTAGAGATGGAGACCATACACTCACTTTCACTGTGGTTAAAATGAGCATTTTAAGAGAATTCATTTGGACACATGTCTCATAGATTTCCACACAATAAGAGTTATTTTTGCAACCAGAGGACCCGTCTACAGGAGAGAAAGCAAAGTCTAAGACACAGTGTCATTGGCCTCAGTTGTCACCGTGAGGCTGTCGCCTGTGTGACAAATATTGAATCCATCCTTCTTTCTTACATTTAGAAACACGCTTATTCAGATTCATGAGATCTTGAAACAACTTTCATTGGTCGGTCAGGTTTAGGTATGAAGGCCGTGTTTGGTGAAGGTAGAGTAGGGCCTCTGCCATCTTAGGAAAATAAATATAACCCAGGGTAAACATGACGTTACATTCACTCCGTCTAGTTAACATGTCGTATCTCATTTGTTTAAACGGCAGAAAAACCAGCTGTTTGGTTTGTTTTTAGTCCTCATGCTAAGCTAAGCTAACCAACTTCTGGCTAAAGCTTCAAAACAACCGATACAAGAGTGGTACGGATCATCTCATCCCTCAAGTCACGAAGCAAAAAAAAAAGTAATTACCAGAATGTTGAGCTACTCTATTAAATATAGTAAAAAACAGATGACGTAATCTGAGTTTCCTCAATGGTATCTGAGCCTTCTCAAAAGCATTTCAGCAACACCTCAGCCCTCTTTCACAGGAACACATTTAACATCATTATTGGTATCACATTCAAATGTGACAACAAAATTGATCAGAGTCCAAAAAAAGGGATTTTCCTCCTTTGAAAACCAGCGCTTGCTTTCCAGAGCGGCCCATTTCCAGCGGAGCTGCCGGAAGAAAGCGCTGCTTTGATATTCAATCAAAACCATGTCAAATCTCTCAGTCAGCGCTGAGTGAAAAGCTCATAAATCCAAACTGGCAGCTTTTCAGGAACTAACAAACACACCAGCTTCCCTGACAACCTCATTGTGTATTTAAAAGTTTAACAGAGGGGTATAAACAAACCCACAAGAGGAGAATTTCATCCATCAAAAACAAATTTAAAAAAATGAAATGAGAGAAAAATTGGCGCCGCACAAACGAGCAGATTCCACTTCCTCTCCTGGAAATCTTTCAGCGTCTCTGCAGCATCTGCAGGCTAAAGGAAGACAAAGGTTGCGATCGCCAATGCTCCAACGCTCGAGGTCACTTGCTCACTGAGATCAGCCGCCCGATGCTTGTGGGCACACCGACGCACCGCGCTCTTCTCGCCGCGCGCTTCACGGGTCATGACCTTGTATTCTCTGAGGAAGAGGAGTGAGAAGGCGATATGCTTCGGGGTGGCTTTAACTTTTAGCACAGAGAAGGAAGGAGGGAGAGAAGTTTACAGCAAGAGATTTCACAATTGTGCAGAAGCGTGTAAACGTTGCGGAAGGTCCAGCAGAGCAGCAACCCGGCAGCGTTCACAAGGAGGCCTGTGCTTCACTAAAACCATGCGAAGGTCACCGACTGCTTGATAGATTCACTCAAAACCAGTTTTTAAACGGCGTTTGGGAAGCATGATGACGGAAATCTGGGACCATCCCGACTAAGTCTGCAAAGTACCAAGAGAACACACAGTTCTCTGCATTAAGTATGTGTGGATGGAGCCTGTGAATCAACATGCCGCATCAGCAATGGCCGTCACGCTCATTTCACATTCGCAAACACTGGAATTTAATAGCTTTTCACATTTTCAATCAAAGCGCCGAACATCTCGAGTACACCTTGAGTAATAGAAAAGATAATGGGAATAATGATTGGAAAAAAGCCTCCTCTTGTTGGGAAAATACACTATCTGTATAGTGTATTTTTTTACATATAGTGCACTGCTTTGAGGGCCAATCCAGATAAACGGTCATCTTAATGCTAAAGCACGAGGAAACATTGTAAAGAGATTATTCTGATGAGGAGCGCTGGCTGCTGGAGCAGCATTGCATGGTTTATTGAACGGGCCTCCGTCTTTACGTGTCCACGCAGCTTTTGGTCAGCGGCGGTGAGTTATGTAGCACGCTCACACTCTGGGACCAGGTGAAGGAAGAAGCTGGTTGGTTTGTGACTTTTGCTCCGGCGGCTTTGCAGAGCGCCCATAGTGCCTCAGCTCCTGACATTTATTGCCCTCGTTCTTCACACCAGAGTCTGACGCCGTGGTGCTGATGTGGGGGCGATAGCCAAGGTTTGTCACGCCACTCCAGGCAATTTCTGACTGAAGCCGCTAAAGTTACCCTCCTCCTTTGCTGTGCGTGGTGCCCCCCAGTCTGCGCTGTCTGTGCATTGTTCAAGGCACAGCTGTCCTCCGGCGCTGTGGTCGGCCCAGTCGGTGCAGCAGCACTTTAAGTGTTTAGGAAGAAAGGAACCAGCCAGTATTATCCTTATATTTTGCATACAGAATGAGAAAGGGGGAGCCACACGTCTCTCTCTCTTGTACCAAACAAAGAAAAGTCTAACACGCGTGCAACAGGTGAGACGTCTTTAAAGCCGTAGCGTCTGCCGGGTCCAGCAGGGTGCGAGATTAGCTGCGGACAGACAGATAAGCACACGCACACACACAGCAGAACATGAGCTCCCCACAGGCTTTCGCATGCCGGATTTACAGCATGTGGTGCAACACTGATAGTGAATCCACAGTGTGGAGGATGTGTAGTGTTTCATATCGTACGGCTCATGTTGGTGTGTTTTTGCAGCAGAAATTCAATCTTAAGATTTCGCAATATTGCTTCTTTTTGCAAGAAATGATCTTTGCCTTTTGTATTTTAAGAGCATTTTGCCGTGCTTATAAATAACATGGGTAAACAACGAACAAAAGAAAGTGTTCATTCACTTCAATATTCACAGTAATGTTCTAATTCAAGTCACTGTCTTTAGCATTTATAAGTGGCATATCTTCCCAACACATTGTGACTCATATTTATTGAACACACCCACCTCCGAAATTAGCTTTGATCGGGATCCCAACCCCACACCTGTAAACCTTTGTTACTGATTCCAACTACACTATATAGTGTATAGAATAATGTATTCAAAAATGTGTTCTTTCTTTGTTCCAGCTCAATTCCTGAAATGCTGACTCACATTATGAACCCAAATCTGCAACAGAAATCTGTCTCTGCTGTCCTCATAGCAGCCTTTAATACATAACCATGACTGTACCATGTCAGAAAGACGCATGCATACTTTCTTGATCTCTACACACACAAACACAAACACACACAAAGAGGAGCCTAAGGGCCCCCGCTGTAATCAGTCCAATGCACGTAACATGGTCCTCATGCCAAACTGCAGCTGGAGGTCGAGGACGGACTCTATTACTCCAATGTCCAACCAAAACTGTGAGGAAGAACATATAAATATAAACACATTCATATATATATACATTCATATATATATATATATATATATGATTTTGTTGTGTGTTTTTATGGAAACGGGGGGGAAGTGTAGCCCCCCTCTGCATCTGAAGAAACGGCCATCGGTGCCCATGAGCAAAGCACTAAACGCTCACTAAGCTGTTGCCTCTCTGTTTTTCGTTGATCCGGTCACCCTTTGCAACCTGCCTGGCAGTGCACACCAAGGGGGGAGGAGGGGAGGAGGGGGGGTATTCATCCGTCTAATAGCAGCTGAAGAGCAGCGCCTGTGGGGGAGCGATCGACGGCGCGTGCAAACACTCGGGCCCCGTCGGAAGGAGGAACCAGCGGGCAGCTCTCGTGCCCCACAGCTCCCGTTTGTTTTATGATCTAAACAGACTTGTCATTTCCTCCAGAGAAGCTCTCCAACCAGCAGGGCCCACTTTCTTTTTCGCCGTCTCAGGCGAAGTGTGGCTTTCACACTGACGGATCTGCTGCGAAGCCACAGCACACGTGAAGCTAAGAATAGCTGATGGGACGCCGGCAGCAGCAGCAGCGGCATCGGCGGCGGCCACTGAGGAGGCGAAAGACGCAGGTCCGAGGTCAGACCAGGACGCCCAGAGCAGGGAGACGAGAGCGAGCCGGACAGGCTTTCAGGGCGCCGCTCATAAGAGCTGAGTCGAGCAGCAGAGCTGAGCTGACTCCTTCTTATTTGTCTCTGTGGCATCGCTCACACAATCTAAAGAGCGCTTTTGGATGAGGTTCAACCAGGTAAATCACAAGCAAACGTGCACTGAACGGCCCTCCTCCCACTTCCACTGCCTCTCCACACGCGCACACACTCAAGTCCATTAATTATTGGACACGTTCCCGATTCACGTTCTGGGTTCATAACCAAACTCCCCACTGCTGTTTTTCCGTTGAGGGAGTAAAGTTTGTATTTCCGCCTGCACAGGACAAACCGGGACAGCGGTTTGTGTGTTGTCTCAACAGTCGCTTGGACTTGTTACCAGGCCCAAAAAGTAGTAGTTGTTTTGTATTGAGATTCATGTTAGCCCTGTATTTACATGATCATCTTATCAAATGAATGTAATGTCAGCTCAACACTTCTGCTGTGCTTCACCTTCCCAAAACAGTACGGCAACCATAGGAAGAAGGACGTCAGTGGATTAGTCTTTTGGCTGCTCTTCAAACTTGACTTTATTGACCACTTCAGCATTTCAGGGAGAAACCTGGAGACGATCCAGGTTTTAAAATTCCGGGACTTACTCACATTTATCATCGTAGTATAAGTGTCGACACGAAGAGGCGGATTCCAGAGTCAAACTCACCACGAGAACCGTTTAGTAGCTGATTCACGTTAAGATATTGATCCAGCGGTTCAATCAGAATTCTTTCCTTTACACTCAATAAAATAACGTAAGTGCCGGAGAAGAACACGGTGTTTAAACACGATAAGCAACACTTTTACCTCGTCACAGTTCTGCAGCAGCGTGGCTGAATGCTGCACAACTGTTCACTTTTTGACACTTTTGTTTGACATAACGTCCCACGAGCAAAACACATATTGTTTGTGTATTCATTGTGCACACATGATTGTGTCGTGTGGTCTGTTTGTTGTTTTTTTCTCCTGAAAAAAAAGTGGTGCCACAAATGCAAAACTACAGGAGCATTAAATCTTAATCTGAAAGGAATCTTTTCATAGCAATTCTCTATTACGGTAAACAGCAAACATTGAAAAGGAACACATAAAACCGCGATGACAAACGCGTATTGTCTCTTCTATTGTAAAATACAAGACTGTGAGGAAACAGCGAGTGATGCTTTCTGTCAGCACATGTTATGGACCGGACCCCACGGTGTACTTACCCATAACTAGAGGGAGGTCAGGGTGGGCTTCTTTAGGCCCGACCTTGAGTCCTGAAGTGTGTGTGTGTGTGTGTGTGTGTGCGTGTGCATCTCAGTCGACTTGGACGAACTTCCTTTGAAAGCACCCGTCACCGTGTCAGTGGGCCGGAGAGGCCCGAGGTCGTTTCCCCCCTTAAAGTACTGCGTTCTGTGAGTCATAATGCGTAACAGGAAAAGCAAAGCAATCTCTTTTTTTCCCCCCAACAAATAATTATTTATTGATTTCCTGACCAGCGAGCCCACGTGTTGCGCGGCCGTGTGCGCGCTGTGTAACAGCAGTATAACTCAAAGAGACTGACGCGTTTTATGGGTTTGTGGAGGAAATACAAGCGCGCTGGTTTCCACGTTATGGGCGTAAACAGCGGCCGATATCATCAGGCTCCGTCTATCCATATTCATGAAGTACCGAGGGTATCGCAATCTCTCCTCTGCGGGTCTTTTGTTGCTTTGATAATCTCCCTCAGACCTGAGCAGGGCTCGTGTGCATGCAGAGCAGCAGAAACACTGACTGTTTCTGTTACTATCAAGGTAAACGCTCTGTGGGATAAACCTGCACATTCTTCTCCTCTATTTCTGTCCTCCTGTGTAAAAGTAGACAGAAACTCATTTATAGGCCACAGGGGAAACCTGCATTACAGATCAGGAGCGGGCGGTTTGAGGGAGCGAACATAGCGTTTAGCTTTTGGAGGTTGATTGGTGCTGCCTCCTTGTTTTTAGCTCCGGTCCTCCAGCATCGTCGGTTGCCGCTCGATTTAGAGGTTAATGTTTTGTTTTCGTTCTTCTTTAAATACAACAAATGCAACTAATGGGATCCCAGGGCAAACAGACCCGGATGCACCACAAGAACATGTTGTAGAGAAATAAATGCGGAGGCACTTTACAGTCGGCGTTTACGATGTAATTTAAGATGTGCATTGAAAGCCAAGCGATTCCTAAGGAGATGATAACGAGGAAGAGGAGTGCCTTCTTCTCAAAGATCCTTTGTGGAGCGATGGCTGCTGCTGCTGCTGCTGCAGGGAGGCGGATGAGGAGGCACAGCGCGGCACAGGGACATGGAAGAAATCCAATGTAGTCGCTCATACTGAGGTCAGATCGCAAACAAAACAACAACAAAAAACACATTATTGGCTTTTAATTTCGGGGCATTTTCCCTGGCAGTGTGAACGTGGCCACAGCATTTTCATAGCTTCACAGCAGAGATGCAGAAGATAAGCTATTATCCTATTTCCTGTTCCTGTTCCCAATCTTTTTGGGGTCATTGAAATATACCTTAAAGCAATCCCTCGTAATGCAAACTACACGTTTATGGCGTCTCCAATGAGAGCAAACACTGCGTCTGTAAAACCACGTTTGTGGAGCCGCTGGCTTTATAACACGAGTCACATTTACAGCCGCTCTCAACCCGCACGTCTGTCAGCATCGTGTTCCCCGGGGCGGCCCTCTCATCCAGGGAGGATCGCTCCCTGGACTCCCGTTTGCTGAATGAGCGTCACGTGTCGGTTGTGGTGCCGCTCAGGCGCGTCCTTTGGGTGGCAGTAAAACTCCTTCACTCCTTTCGCCGCTGCTGCTGATTTCAATCACGTAACCCAGCAACGGGTTTTAAAGCAGCATGTGAAGAAACTTTTTAACTGCAAAACAATAACACTGATTTTAGCATGTTGTGCTGCTTTGTCTATTTGCATCTGAAGGTTTCTCCCAAAGTCCCATCGGTCACTTTAAAAAGCATTTCTTAAACACTAAATTTTCTCTCTAAATGAGTTTTCTCTCAGACTCACATCCAGAGATCAGACTTCAGTAACACTTCAGTAGCTCTCACGTGCAGCAGACTTTCACACCAGCTTTATCAACTGTTTAGATTTCTGTTATGGAGATAAAGTAGCATATATTTGATAAGGGAATGCCATATTTGCACGGAAACTCTCTTAATGTAAATTATTAACCTGTGAAGTTTCATGGTGATGTGTATTAGTGACATTTGCTTTACTCCCCCTTCATTTGTGCCATTTCACGGTCCACATGTTGGCACAAAATCTCCTTCTTAGACCTTCATTTAAACACAGAATAGAGCCCCGAACACACAAATCAGCTTCACTGATCACGGCACATTCGGCAAACCTTTTACAGGACAAAACAGCAGATGAACGATCCTCCGAGAGACCGAGCTAAAGCGGACTCTTCACAGAAGAGAGATAATGGGAATCATGGGAGAAATGATGTCATCATTATGTAATTCCCCCGTCGTCGGGTCCACCTGTTGTGCTCAGGATGGACGGCCGTGGAGCAGCACAATGGCAGTAAATAGAGCGCGTCGGTGCCCAGTTGGTGTGGAGGAGAACCTCCCCACCTCCACACTGCTGCGTGTGTTTGTGCTTTTCATGCTGGCGAGCACTGGTTCTGAATCAGCTTCCTGTCCAGTGAGATGAGCGGACTTGAGTGTGCAGCTCAAAGTGCCTTTAGTGCCAAGGAGGACTCGACTTTTGTAGCGGTAACTAAATATGTTAAGATTTGATCTCAATAAAATATAAAACCAAATATTCTTCTTTAGATCTAAACTCTCTTCTTTATGTTAACAAATCTTTACTATTACTGAGGGCTGATGTATTTTAATACTTCTCAGTATTTTCACATTATTCTAGTTTTGTTTTAGGCTCCACATGCTTGCATTTGACAGAATTTTCTTCAATATGATGAACATGTGTATAAAGGGTCATTTATTATAAAGACTTTTTAGTCTGATCAAAATCTCCATGATCTTAATTGCAACTGGAAAGGGGAACATTTTCATAAAACACTTATAGTGATGATTTATAGACACTTTATAGAAACTGGTCCGCATTTTCCACCTTGACAGATGCCAAGTATCATCTCTGGAAATATTCCAAGGAACAATCAGGACTTTCACTACACTATTCAGGATGGAACGACACGTCTTAACTTATATATACTGATAATAATGCAATCTCGTAAAAGTGTGAACATTCCAACCTCTTCCAAAATAAGAGCACCCACTTTAGAAATGAGAAACGTCCTATAGCTTCACCTAAAGAGATGCATCCGTTGACTTTTTCCAAGGAGACTGCCGATCATTTCATAATTCTGCCTCTGTTTGTAAATGGAACTGGCAGCCTGTTGAGCATCAGGTCTCCACTAAAGAAGGAATTAAGAGTCGCGGCTGCACGTTGAAACTATCTGAATAATCATCACTAGCGCTGATCTCTGCAGCCTTCTGTGAGTATTGAAATAATCCCATCGGTACACAAATAATCAAATACGTTGGTCCATTGTGGCGTTTGGGCAGCTTATGTTTGATGGGGTGGGGACAATAAACACGTAATGGTGGGCTTATCCCCTCGGATGCGTAATTGGAGCTCGTGCCAAGAGCAAGGATTCAAAACCAACTGGCCATCTGCGCAACGGGCGGAGTTTGTTCCGACAGGATCCCCGCGACGCGTCGCCCAGTTCACATTTTTACGCACAACGCGGACGCGCGGAACACATCAGAGTCCGAGCGGCTCTTGGTCTCGTTATGTTGCTTCCACTTGGGGTGCAGCTGTGAGCGTTCTCTTTTCGCCCTTCTTCTTTTCGTACCGGTTTACTGCCCCCCCCCCCCTCCTCGGACCTACGGCGTTGACTCATCTTTCGGCTTCTCCTCCGCCGCGCGTAAAACCCGACTTCGGCGCACCACGGGGACTTTTCGGGACTCAAGATGGAAAACTTTACAGCGGCCGCTCCGGAGCTGAACGGAACCCTTGGTCGGTGGACGGACTACAGCCTCCAGTACAAAGTGATAAGCAGTGTACTGCTTCTGGTGATCTGCGCGGCAGGCATCGTCGGCAACGTGATGGTGGTGCTGGTGGTGCTCACGACCAAGCACATGAGGACTCCGACCAACTGCTACCTGGTGAGTCTGGCGGTGGCCGATCTGATGGTGCTGAGCGCGGCCGGTCTGCCGACCATCACCGACAGCATCTTCGGCTCGTGGGTGTTCGGCCACTACGGCTGCCTCGGCATCACCTACTTCCAGTACCTCGGGATCAACGCGTCCTCGTGCTCCATCACCGCGTTCACCATAGAGAGGTACATCGCCATCTGTCACCCGATCAAAGCGCAGTTCCTGTGCACGCTGTCCCGGGCCAAGAAGATCATTCTGGTCGTGTGGGCGTTCACGTCCCTGTACTGCCTGATGTGGTTCTACCTGTCGGACATCCAGCAGCTGGTGTACGACAACGTCACCATCGTCGCGTGCGGGTACAAGGTTCCCCGGAAGTTCTACATGCCGATTTACTTTTTTGACTTCGGCGTCTTCTTCGTGGTGCCGCTGCTGGTCTCCGCGGTCCTGTACGGACTCATCGGCCGGATTCTCTTCCTCAACCCGCTGCCCTCTGACCCCAAGGACAAGAGGAAGAAGAAGAAGAAGAAGAAGAAGAACGAGCCGAGCAACGGCGCCAACGACACGAGGAACAGCTGCAGGAACTCGCGCCACTCCAGCTCCACGGCGACCTCGCGCCGCCAGGTGGGTGCCACGTGCCTCTGTCTTCAAACAAGGGAATCAAAGCCGAGTACAAATGTGTGGACCTTGTATTTTACTTAAAAACGAAGGTTTAAAAATATATATGAAGATCATCATTGAATAAATACTGTGTGCATGTGCATCCCCGATACTGCATCTCTTAAACAACAACAATGTAATGTTCAAAAGTGTAAAACCGAATGGTGACCGTCACCACCCGGCTGTTGTTCCTGCTTAAAAAATGGCTCAATTAAGCTAAATGGAGACCAACATGACGATGGTTCGAGTTTGGTTTCATTGAGAATGCCAATGAGAGAGCAAAATGTTTCACGTATCGTTAAATGCTATGAAGCGTAAAGCCTCAGAGCCAGCAGGGCTCAAGCAACGTGTGACTGTACTCTGAATATCAGTTCATTGCTATCAAGCAGAGGTATGAAAGCATCTCAGAGTACAAAGGCTAATAAGCACGCTTAAATACTGACACGATCAAGAGAGTTAAATTATATATTGTATATTGAATCATAACACTTGGGTGAACTCGCGCTTTAAGTGAGATTACGATCGACTGGCTCAGAAGGTGGAGTGGCGTCCCAGCTCCTCCGTTCCATGTCGCAGAGACACCTGACGTTAAATTGCTCCTGAAGGCGACGCCACCGGTGTGTGAAAGACGGCTGATAGATGAAAGATGAGTGAAGTCTAGAAAGAAGTTAGCTTCTTCCTTCGTGTTAAGGCCTCGACAGACTGGACTCCTGCAGGTGTTTTGCTGCAAGCATCCGTTCTCATGTCATTCCTTGTTGGACATCAGGTGACCAAGATGCTGGCCGTGGTGGTGATCCTGTTCGCCGTGCTCTGGATGCCGTACCGCACTCTGGTGGTGGTCAACTCCTTCCTGGACCGCGCCTACCTGGACAGCTGGTTCCTGCTCTTCTGCCGCGTGTGCGTCTACCTCAACAGCGCCGTCAACCCGGTCATCTACAACGCCATGTCGCAGAAGTTCCGCGCCGCCTTCCGCAAGATATGCCGCTGCAGGAGGAAAGGCTGCGACAAGCCCGCCGCCTACAGCGCGGCCCTCACCTACAGCGCGGCCAAGGACACGTCGATGGTGGAGAGCGCCGACCCCTTCACCACCGAGCTGGAGGAGCTCACCGTCACGGACGAGCTGCTGTCCGACCAGAAGACGATGTTCCCAGACACCTGTGCGTACGAGAAGGTGGACTTCAGCGACGCGTGAGGTCCATTGCAACCCACGTTTCAGAATTAAGGAGTTTGAAAATGTGGTGCGATGGTTTCCGCGAAGCGGGAATAGTGTTTGCCGAGTTCTTGCTTACCTTTGCAAAGCCGAGCGACTTTGGATGGATGTGTCAACACGAGAGGCTCTACGAGGGCCGAGAAGGATTCCGGACGTTGTAAAGCGGCTAACGCCAACAGATAAGCTCGGTTATGGCGCAGCTGTTATCTCACCTCGGACCTGACTTTGTGATAAACTGCGCGCGGTTCAACAAAGACAGAAACACTGTGTATCCGGATACACGGCTTTGTCGCCACAATCAGACTGGACACTAAAAGAATTACACCAACGAGTGCGGCTCGGGGCTCAGAATTCATTCCTCACCTTCTGATTCCCCGTTTTCCAGGAGTGGAATTCGGTGCGGGTCGGCTTTGTACAGACTTTGGGGATTTTAGGCTGAGAAAAAAACGGTTATTTTTCACACCGAAGGGTAACTTTAATAAAGTGTTTGCCACCCGTCTCCCGCTCAAAGTTTTCAGGGCAGACAGCCTATAAAAGGTGAGTCATGCCTGAACCTTCACAGCAGGCTCTGTTTTCATTACAAAGGCCTCGAGGCACCACGTGAGAACCAAGACGGACTTTGTGGCGCGGGTTTGTGTCTTTGCAGAGATCTCCTGATGGGTTCATTGTGTGCTCGCTGACGGACTTGGAGGCGGAAGAACATTTCAATTCTAACAGGCTCAGAATGAGGTTTATTGTGTTGTTTTAGCTCCCACAGCATCTACCTGTTTAGTTATACGTATTAATGGGTTTTTCGTTTGTGAGCGAGTTGAGAAAAGGGAACATTTCAGAGATGTTAGAAATGTTTATGAACTTGACACATATTAATACAGAATTTGTTAGAACGTATAAACTCGTAAATTAGACGAAATGATAACTGTTTGAGCAGCTCGGTGCTTATGAACCTCAATGTATTACAATGTAAAAGACTGTATATAGACAGAGACTTAGTGTAACATAAAGGACATGGATGTATTTCAGCTGCAGCTCTAGTGCGACAGTTTCTGCTTAGTGATTGTACCAATACTGTAAACGCCCTGAGTATCACTAGATTCATGCACTTGTGTGTTTGTTGTATTTAAAGTGGTATTTATTAATCTGTATATTTTTAATGCCACCCTGGATTTTGTTATTGTCCTTTAAAACATTATAAATGGGATTTTGTGCTGAACAATTTGGAAGCTGCTGCCTTGGACTTCATTATTTAATCCTGTGAGTATATTTGATTGTTGTCTAGGAAAAAGTAACTTGTACATTTTATCTTCATGTTCAATAAAAAAGTTGTTCCTGAAATTGGAGTGGAGGATTTTTTTCAATTATTTTTTGGGGTACAGAAGTGCATATTTAGGGGGCCTGAATCTCTCTCTCGCATTAGAAATAAAACTGATCATATATCCAAATGTTTTTTGAAAGAATATCCACTGAGTCTTCTGCCCATAACATCTCACTAACCGCCCACCCTCCGCAGGATCAGGGTCTCAGTCGAAATACAGAATAATACCTTGTATGTTTGACATATTTTGGCTAATAAATGTTTCCTGATCCTGATTACATAATTAAGAATTAAAAAAAATGTATTTCTTTTGTCTAACTTAAGGGTAAAAGTGATTAAACGTGTGCACAGTGAGGTGCCCTTTTTTGAATAATTTTTTTGAACCCTAAATCCTAAAGTGATACTTTGTAAGGAGAGAAATAACGCGCGTCTTTCTCTTTCAGATAAAACATTTCTATGCGCCGCTACAGTATTCTCCACTTCTCAGTGCAAAGAACAAAGTCTCCACTGCTCGTGGGCCCCCGGGCAGCCAAAATCACATTCTAAGCCTCGTTGTGCTCGCAGCTCTGCGCCACGAGCACAACCCGCTGTTTTGTCAGATAAGCTTCGATAAGCTCAGGGTGCTTTTCTAAAGTCGCTTGAATTGTTTTTAGGGGCAAGTCCACATTGACTTAGATGTCTAACCTCGCAAAACTTTAAACCCTGTTTAGTAAAAGCGTTTAGAAGGCCAATAGAGAGGGAGGGGGGCAAAACAGAGCAAATATTAGACTTTGTCCTGTCTCCAACACAAAGATAAATAATATGTCAGTGGTGGGTTGACGGATTATTGCAGTGCCACCTAATTGCCGACCCCCTTAACCCCCCCAGCACAAAAAAATAATGAATGCTGCTTCAAATGATACCAAATGGAATGTTTCTCCAGAGATACTGAAGAGATGAGAAATGCAGAGGTTAGTTGAGTCTTCAAAACGCCACCTGCATCGCCACGAGTGCCGTCAACCAACAAGAAACTAAAGCGCCTCCGGTTTGCCAAACGTGAGAAGCCCCTCACGGCCACTGGGAAGCATGGTGGCGGATCTTTGACGATTTGGGTCTGTTTTTCTTCCAAACCAACAAACAAACAGCCTCGTCCAGGAAGCTTAAAATGGGCTGTGGTTGGACCACAAAGCGGGACAATGATCCTCAGCACCTGAAAATCGAAAACACAGAATAAAGGTTTTGCCCTCCCAGTCCCCCGACATGAACCCTGTAGAAGATGTCTGAGATGCACTGAAGAGGAGAATTTTTCATATTCATATTTTTAGTTGACGGACGGCTCCAAATCTGACTGTTTGGCACGTAAATGTCTCAAACTGCTGCTTCCATACATCCCTTTAAATCAGACATCGCAGTACGGCTCATTTGCATTCAAATGGAAACCCTGCCCACATTTAATAGAATACACACTGCACTCACCAATAAATGCAAATTCTGTCGCCATATCTACCGAGCGTAATCAAATGTAAACTCAGCCTGGGAGCAGCTTCAGTTAATTGCTAATTTACAGCCGTCGCCAGGGCGAACCTTCCACAGAGGGATTTGAAAAAGGCTTCATACAAGTTCTCCGGAGCGAGTGTAAATAATGTCTCTGATGCACAGCAGATACTACGCAGGAATCATTACACAAACTGCAGATTAACACTCTGAATTGTGCCCATTTATGACAAGCCGTGGCAGGTAAATAACAGTTCATCCTCGCTAAGATATATCAGGACAAAATCTAAAGCCAGTATCAAAATGGACAAAGATGGAAACTGATGGAGGGAGAGTGAAGTTGAAAGAAGTACAGTACCAAAGGTGGGAATAAAAAAAGAAAATGAGGGAGGGGTGAGCAGAGGAATAAGGATTAATTCAGATGGAGGCGCAGAGGTTTCTAGCCCACTAACTGTGAAATAAAAGTGTTTCAGCACAACGAAAGAGGGATGTTCTGTAATAACGTTATGACACCCCGGACAGAGACAGCAACAAAGAAAAAGGAGGAGGTGGGGGGGTAATTACAGCTCCACCACGACAGCTTTTATGAATAATTACACTGGGAAGTAAAAGGCAACGAGCCTTTTGAAGAGGAGTCTACAAAACCCAACAAAGACTTCGACTGGGATTCATGATGCTTTCTATACTTTAAGGACGAGTAAGTATTCTGTGTTGTTTAATTAGTTGTAAAAATGTAAAATCAATCAATCCCACTACCAAGAGTTGTGTGTCATACGCTGGATGTACTGCGCTGTTATCCGGTCATATAACACACACGGTGTGACACGTCATGAGTTTCCATCAAAGTCCAAAACACATTCGCTCTGCTCGCTGCTGCCAAAAATACTCGACACAGCCTCAGGTTCGTATTCATCCACAGATGAAAATAGTCCATGTTCCCGGGACACATTAGGGAAACCCGGTGTTTGGAGAAGCGGAACGTTTTAGTAGTTTTCAAGGCTTTTTTAGAAATTTAGAATATCACCAGCGTTATTACTCCAAAGCGGCTGTAATCAATATTTTTAACAACAATGAATTAAAAGACAATTTGTAATGTGACTGCCTGCTGAACATACACCCCCCTCCAGCTTAAAGTAGGGGTTTGATATTTTGATGAATATATTTATGAGTATTACCCCTTGTTTTTTCAGTCCTTGTTACACCTACTACTAAGCTAAAGCTATTAGCTAAGCTAACATTAAGCCTCCATACACCAAAGAAGAGCTTGAACCCGTTGTTAAACGTTGTTACATACATGACACACACCGTGTGTGCGTTTGCAGTCAAGTATGGACGTTGTGTAATAACCGTTAAACGATGTATTATTCGGGTAAAAGACAAACATTGGCAACATAAACCAGTGACAATCAGCCCGTCTTCTCTGCCTTGTTTCCAGATGTTGACCTTTCCACCGGCGCCGCAGCGCTCACGACCACGCGGGTACGACATCCGTAACACCTAATTACTCTGCCTCCGTGTGGCGAGGATCCCTATTCATTACACCAGAATGTGCAATCAACTCGATAAGGTTTCGTCTCCGTGGAGAAATGTGCGCGTTTGTTTACTTTAATCGCTTAATCGTTTAAAAAAAAAAAAAGGTGCCATTTACACATGCAAAGGAAAGCGGTTTCATCCTGAGGAGGTGCGTTTTAATCACAGACCATCTTCCAATCTTCTGTTTGCCGAGGCCCCGGGACACCGGGCGGGACAGCAGGGGAAACATCCGACCGGGCCGCGTTGGGGGACGCGTACGCTCGGGACGAGGTTCTCTAACGGCGAAACAGTGGTGCCCTGCGTCCACAGTGGCATAAGAAAATAAAAATAATAAACGTTTGTTGTAGTAACTTGGCTTTAAAAACTGGCACACCTGGACAGATGCTGATCAGAAGCATATAACAAAAGATGATCGCATGGTTTTTTTTGGGAACGCATCAGTCAGTCGTTGAGCAACTCAGGGTGATTTGCTGATGCAGAGAATCAATCTGATAACATCTGTATCACGCTGTATATAATGGCGTCATCTGGCATCTTGAATCAACGGATCCATGCAACCAGAACTAGAGCGTCCAGGTTTCTGGTTACGATTATCGGCTGGCTCCAAAAAAACTGTTATTTAGCGTTTTTTAGTACAAACCTTTTAGACCTGGGTATTGGAATCATACTGTGGTGACTCCCCACCAGCTCTATATAATCTAATCACTGAACTAATGAATTACAACTGGATCAATACAAGGTGCTGGAGGAGAAGCTCATCATGAGATTTGCTGGTAGGAATTTGTTAAAGATAAGAATTTGAGGTATGAGGCCTGTGAGCCCTGCTGGAGGGAGGCCTGGTCGTACCTTTTTTAATCCATAGAAAATAATACATTTAACAAATATTAAACGTTTCTTCTGGTTAATTCAAGTCAACAGGAGCTTCAGATCTTACGATAAGGACAAGGATCATTTAGCATCACTGCACAAAAACAGCTGCAATTCAAGGTTTTAAGCGATGGTTTCAAATGCATTTGAATATTTAAACACATTAAAGAGACGACAACAGCCGTCATTTTATGTTTTTTTAATTATAGTTGTATTGTTGTCAAGAAGTACAAAAATACCAGTTGCCTCCATGGTAACGGGTAAGAATGACACAAATCTAAATTAAGCTATTTAACTCAGCTTGTGAGGCATCTCGCATGTCCCTCACAACCAGAACCGGGCCGCGGTGCGAATCCTGGGCCGCGCCCCCTGGACCAGCAGGGAGCCATGGCAACCGGGTCCTTGCTTTCAAAATGTACCTATGTAGCGGCTATTGTTACGCCTGCTACGGCTCATTCTCCGCACAGATAACATTTCTCCCTCACTGTGTCACTGCCAACATACCGCCTGTGCTTCAGAAAATAAACGCGCTGGAATCTGCTCGGCAGTCTGCTCCATGCGTTATTCTCTGCAATGGGTTTTAATATAAGCAACAAGTGGGATGCGTCTCATTTTAGTGAACTAATAAACACAACTGAATAAATTCAACTCAATCAACCTTTTAAAGTTGCAGTTTTCTTGCAACCTTCCTTATTGACGACCATTTGTGTTAAAAGGACAATTAGAATACGCTGCCGTCGTCCCAGGGAAGATGACTTTAGTTTTGAGGCAGATCAGGTGTCCTGAGCGGGCAGCCGGTGAGACTCCCACTGAGGCACCGAAACGGATTTGAGACAAAAGGCCTGGCTGTGAATATTACAAAACACCACCACAGTCAGATGGCCTGATGCACTTGTTCTGCGCGTCCGAGTAAAGACGCGGGCCGTCTTTACTCCGTCCTCGGAGACGCAGGCCGTCTTTACTCCGTCCTCGGAGACGCCAGCGGCTCTGACAGGCCGCCTTCGAGTAATCAAGGGATGCTGGTGCCGCTGGTGAAAACAAGCACCGCAGTCTAATTCAATCGCGCCGCAATAATTAAATCAAAACAAAGTAAAACGATTTTTTGTTGAGCCAAACAATGAGAGACAGAGAAGAAAAGGGTGATTAC